GACGAGCCAAATGGAGCCACTGAAGAGAAGAATCAGAAGAGGTCGAAGAAGAATCCAGGAACTCGACGAGAAAAGATCTCAAGATATTAAGAGGCTCAAGAGCCATATTAGAGCGACGATATTCGAGGACCCAACGCGCGTATTCGGCAGGAGACCAAGCATTACGTTGATGGATGAGGAGGATCTCTTGATGATCCTCGGTGGAAGTATCATTACTATTACTGTCAAGTTCGGATTGAGATCTGACAAAGAGATGGTGGATGATATGGAGTCTATCGAGCGAGGATTGTCGGAGCAGATTGTCGACTTCAGAGGGCCGATCGGCGAACAAGAGTTGCCGAAAGATCTTCAGGTTATCGAGTTGGACCGTCACCTCCATCCGACCTTCTTCTTCCCTACTATCTCCCTTCTCATCCATCACCTCCGTCGATCCAGGCGCGCTCAGAAACGTCCCCGGCCCCGACATCCGTCGTCCTCCCTGAGTCTCATGAGCCAGGAACTGCGAGACCTCGAACTCTAACTCCGCTAGCTCCCCTGCTAGTCGTAGCTTGACTGTCTCCGTTAATGGGCTCATCAGACTCGCATGGAACATGAAGCTCCGGAGGATCTCGACTGTCAACTCGAGTAGGATCGGCTCTAAATGACTGGCATCTAAACGGGCCAGGATCTCATGACGAACGAGAGCCAACTTGGCCCTCAACTCTTGCATATAGATACTCCCACCATTGGCCGTACTAGGCCGGAATTGATTATGCATCTTGGCGATAATCATGTTGAGTTCGCGTTGGATGGAGACTAAGATCGGACTGATGATCCCTTCGCAAATCTTCTCGGTTAACGTGATCGAAGGCTCCATGATCTTCTTGATCTCGTCCGGGTAATCTTGCATGGATCGGGTGAGGATCCGCGAGAGCTCTGATAGATTGTTGAAGATCTCAATGTTGGTGATTTGGGAAGAGGTGGCGACGGGTCCAACCAATGAAGTCGACTGATAATCCGTCACAATCTTATTCTCGATTCGTTTAAGATAATTCTCGACGACCTCTTTCGCTTTCCTAGCCACCGAACGGACCAACAAAGGATCGAATCTAGCAGCATCCAACTCATTGGCGAGTACGGTCGTCAATTTATCGGCCCGTCCACTACCCGCTTCGGTCATCTTATTCATCGACCGATTCAAGTAAATGTTTTCCAGTGGTAGAACCGCCCGAAGGGTCAGGATCGTCTCCGGTGATTGAGTACTCGAATTATAGATTGTGTGTGTATGTAACGAGATCCGCGAGAAAAATTCTTGGAAGAGACGCAATAGATGTGGGTAATTTGCTGTCAGGGTTTGTGCTATGAAGTTTGAAGCTATCAAACACACAAATGCGATCCAGTTAGTTCAAGTTTTTTCAAAAAAAAAAGGCAAACTTGTGAAAACTAAAGGAGAAAGGGACTAACTTCTCAAAGTTTCGCGAGTCTCCTTGCTCAAAGCACCACTGAGTGTAGTCCAAAACACAGTGCTAGGTCGTTCTTCCAACATAGACCCATGGTTGGTGACGACCTCTAAAAATGGGACACCAGTGATCGGATCCTTCTTCCATTCCAAGACCTTTTCGAGTGTGTAAACCTTGACACAGCAAGTGCTTAGATCATCGATCAATCCTTCTAGTCGGCTCCATAATGCACTTGTCCAATGTGGTAAAGTGGCAGATGTGGGCTCAGTTCTTGCGCGTGATTTGTAGCCGAAACTGGATGTTGGTTGGGGATCTGTTAAAGAGAAGGAGGTTGTGAGCTATTGTAACTCGCATTACGCCAATAAAGGGTAAAAAATGTGGATGAGTAGCTGATAAAACATACCGTTTGCTCCGGCTTCCCTGGCTAAGGAATTAAGGTCGAAGGCAAGCTTGATCCTCTTGCTGATGAGCTCGGTGAGTTCGAAGATCATCGATCCCACTGAGCGGTCCAGGATTGAGAGGTTGTAGGCGGTCTGGAAGGAGGAGGATAACATGGAGCGGTCGAGTTGGACGAGTCCTTGGTTCAGGATCCTCGTCATCTGCTCCTCTACCTTCTTCCGGGCCAAGACGATCGCCTGGACGTGTGGCTGGATCGCCGTTAGTGATCGGATCGAGCACACCGTTTGTGGGCTCGCTTCGGTTGGGCTCGTCGCCTCGACTGATGCTGTCTCGAGCTCGGAGTCGAGTAGCTTCTCTAGCTCGGACAAGGTCAGGGCGCTTTCGGCCAAGACGAGCTCGTGTTGATCCCTAGATGTGGAGGTCGATGAATCCTTTTGAGAGTTATCTGGATTGTTGTCTCGTTGGTTGAGTGGATTGAGATCCAGCTCGGCAATCTGAGCTTCGAGTCGCTTGGCCAGGGTGACAAACCGACTGGTTTTCCTTGAGAGTTCTGCCGCAGCCTGGTAGCGATCCAATCTACCAAGAGCGTCTTCAAGAGTCGCATGACGGTTTCCGATCTTCTTGTTCAGCCTTTCGAGGTTAGCTTCGAGTTGCTGGAGAGCATTCTTGACGGATTGGAGTGGTCGATCGAGCGATGCAACCGAGCTTGCCTTGGTGAGCAATTTAAGATGGTGAGTTGTGACTTGGGATCTGATTTGCTTCGTGATGTCCTCGATTCCCAAGTTCAATTTCGAGAGTACCGAGCTCACATCTCCGGATGCGAATTGGGAGATGTCCGTGGAATGGTAGGGTTCGTTATTGAGGACCGAATTAGCAAATTCCTGGGGATCAAAATTCGGGTCAAGATAGACTTGGTATTCTGATTTGAAATGAGAACTAGTATCAGTGTGTTAGATTAATCTAAACAAAAACCAAAGAATGAATGAAATCCAAAACAGAACCTGGTCAACATGGAGAACGAAGTGTGATGATTGGATGAAAGTGTTGTACCTGGTGGGATTTGATATGAATCTGATGGCTCGACGATAACCTGTTTGTCCTTGCTGTTGTCCATGGCCGTCAACTGAGGTGAGGTGGTGGTTAGTTGGTTGGTTTGGGTTGGTGGTCGTTGGTCATGACTCATGGTCAACTGGCTCGAGAACCATCAATTAAGGGTCTCGATCGGGGATGCCGCGGTCCAATCGGGGGACTTCCCCCCGAGTATGACGAGATCCACACAATTCAATTTCAAACAAGAATTGACCACTTTTCAACACAAGTTTTCTTTTGCACCTTAGCCAAGATCACACAAGTGTTGTTGTTAGCATAAGAGATGGTAAGTCTGATTCCCCTTTTCTATCTGTCTACCCTTCTGGAATTAGTGAAACATCCAAAGAGAAGAATTGAACTGTAGCTGATCCAAGCTCTCAGGAATCATATCATGTTACTGTACATACGTCATGAATCCTCAATTGATTGACTGAATAATTAGTTTGAAAATAAAATTGACATGGAGTAGTAGAAACTACATAAAAAAATCCAAGATTCAAATAAATTAACACTAGATCAATCTAAGCAAACAAGGAAGCATCATAAGATCTAGGATTTCTAGGGGAAAAAGGACCACCAATTCAGATCAATGGTTAACAATTTGGGCTGAAAATTTGAATGATTCAGGACATAAAAGTTCATCCAAAAAATCACAATCTGGGGTACTCATCAAAAATTTGAATCAACATCAGAGAATTTTTTTTAATTGTGAAGCGTGTTTCTTGAGCATTCACTTAATTTCTCAAAGGGGATTGAGATTTATGAAATATAGGAAAACAGGTAAAATGTGGCTATTTTTTTTTCTACCTCTCAAATCATCTTAAGTATTTTTGAAACAAAAATTTCATAATATTTTAGATTCGAAAGTAAGCGGAATGGAGAGAAAATTCTACAAACTCTATGCTTTTTTGTATTTTTTTTATATTTTAATTATAATCTTATCTTGTGTTTCTTATAAGGTGAGGGGAAATCTATTTAAATATTTTCTTATGAGGGAGAACAATTGCAGAAATTCTGATTCTATGGAGATAAATGATCTATGTGTAGAGAAACTATCTGGAGCTGTGCTTCTTTATTGAAAGAAGGCTGTATGATTATCGATCAGACACAGGGTTGCTGCTGTTTTCCATTTGAGCAATGACTATAGTATACATGACGGCCTCATCCATGTTGTATACCGTTTTCAAATGGAGAGTTGGTCAATTCATCAGACAGGAATTCCTCGAGGTACGCTTGACGATTTGCGAAGGCAGTTGAAAAAGCTATATCCTCGCCCCCAGAAGAAACAATGTAAACAGGTTGGCTAGACAGCTGATTGAGGTTTCTGCAGTCTTGCTTAATCATCATTGGGCAAGTTCAAGTCACGCACCTTCTGGCTCATGGCCCAATATTTCTTTGAGACGATCCAAATGGCTCTTCAATTGGGTTGATTTTTCAACCAGTTGAGAGACCATTGTGTCTCGGTTTTCACTAGACACATTTTCCGCAGCATGCAATTTTTCGATCCAAGCGTATTCAGTCTGCTCGAGCCATTTGGACAACTGCTGGCCGTACTGTTGTATGTCGAGAGCATTGGAGACATCGAAGGTGTCTGGTAACTTAGGAAAAGGACGGATTTGAATGATTGGTCCTACCTTACATTCGTCACGGATTGAGTTTCCAATACTCCTGACTTCTTTTGAATTTTCGTCGGACAAGTCTCCTAGGATTTTGTGACCAGCGAAATTCGTCAGGCGGGGTGCAAGATCGAAAAATCCAGCTTCTGAGAGAGCACAGAACGATACAGGTCCGGGAAATACAAGGGAGTCAGATTTATCCCAAGCTGCGAATCAAGTGTGAATAGAAACCTGGCGAATAGAAACCTGGCTGAATAAGAGCGGATGGATTCATACCTCTGATTCTAATAAGGTATTCAGGACCGAAAGCCTTCGTCAGAGCTGTTTGCAATCGTTCTTCTCTTGGGGAAAGCTGGTTAGCGGAGGACGTAGAGGCATCGGCGTCTGTCGTGAAGATAGACTTGCGCCAAGGACTACCATTCTCTCCAGATGAGCACGGAACAGTTGCATTTTTCCCTTTCCTGGATCGCACACTGGTCCTGCTAGCTGATGGATTGGACAAATTATCCTTTTGAGTTGCAGCAGCCTTGGTTTGCGAGATTACGGGTTTCTCTACAATCGGGTTGTTCCATTGATGCTCGAATTCTAGATATACCTCCATTGACAAACATGGTTTCGGCGATGAAAGACTCAGCATGAGCAAGAGTAAAGAGAATTTTGAAGCCGATTGGGTGGTCATTTTAAAGCAGTCTAAGGCGCCAAAGAGTCCGAAAACTGTACGGTGGACCTATCACCTCCTCAGAATTAAGTCACCTTTACTCTATGGGGGACGGTCGCTGATAGGAATAAGCCCTCTGCTCGTCGCTAACTTGCTGGAGTCCTTAAAGTGTTTGAAGGGGGGATTTCATTAGGTTAGCGCTCATCGGCATTCTAAACACCTGGTTTGATGTGCATCATAGCCATGTACACATGATACACACAAGTCCCATCGGCAAGCTCTGCCAGGTCGCATTGAAGGTTATATGCTTGAATCCCGATGGTCTACAGCAAGTGCACGTAAAAATCATGTACCCCAACTTGTTTGGGCTGTTGTTGGCCCCTGCTTTACATCATTTGTCTTCAGCCGGTCTTCAAAGTTAGTGAGCATGCAACAGTGATGGTCAAGTCAAGGTCAAGTCAAGTTTTCACTTGAATACATAAATAGTCAAGTATCTCGCAGTAACGAACCTTCCAATCCCTCG